GGATGGATGGATGGACAGACGGATGGATGGATGGATGGAGAGGGCTGCTGAGAGCAGATCCACTCTGTTGTTTATGGCCTCAGTGAGAGGGACTGGAGGACAGTGCTGTGCATCAAATTAAAACCTCTCCAGAGGAGGAAAGCCATTATCCAAAAAGGACTTGTATACTGATGATGCTCTGGAGACTATTAGAAAGTGAAGATGTTCAAAAATTTCTGATGTTCTGAAACAGTTCAGTTACTGTGCCTACAGGCAGAGAGGGAGAAGTAGGAGAAAATTACCWTTTATTTAAGATTGGTTGCTGACTGCACAGAAGAATCTCTTGAATCCAAAACAAAGGCAGAAGCCTAGAGGAAGAGCTCTGGGCACTTCCAACCAAACCCAGAGCTGGTTCTTTCTCACTCAGGTGTGGAGGTCAGTGGTGGAGCCTGTTACCAGCTCCAGCTTTGGCAAGAATTGTTGTGATGGGCTGGCTTGGAAACAAGCAATGGAACTTCASCCTTTGATCTGCACAAGAGATGGGGGCTACTGAATTAATACTGACATTTGTTTGTGCTGTGAGCCTGAATGGTGACTCACAGCTTTGTTTTCCTGGGAAGGGCACACATGCCCCTGGACAACACTGGATTGCCAGTAGGTGATTATAATTAGCTGTGCTTAATGGGCTGAATTTGGATGTTTTGACCAGTATCTTGCAATGCTGAGAAACTGCCTGAGAAATTGGCAGGATCTGAAATACTTAAAACAGCAAAAGCCTGTCAAAATCCCTCCCAAGTCACCTTTCAGCTGAACAGAAGTACAACACAACTATTAAGAGAATGCTGTCATATTTGAAATATTTTTAGCATGGTTTCCACCACTTTTGCATTTGTGCTCTGTCCTGTTCTACCCCCTCCTCAAAAATAACTTAAATCTTTTGGCCAGCTTCAGTGACAAGAAAAATCTCGCAGACAGCTGACTTAATCCCAGTTGCATGAAAATTAAGGGCTTGGTRGAGATGATAAATCCAAAGATTTCCTCTGCTTTAGGTAGGGATTGCCAAGGAAGTTTGGCTGGTTCCTYGGCGAGCCAGGCCAAACAAAGATCTGTGGTCTGCACACACGGAACCTGGCGCAGTGCTGGCTTCCTTTYGCTGGAGCAGTAGTTGGAGGACAGAAATAGGAGCTGAGCTGCTGCCTGTGCAGAGGGACCCCAGGGAGGTGCTGGGTCAGTGGGCTCGGAGGGAGGGGTGAGGTGGGGAAGGTGGGAAGGGAAGACAAGTCTGCAAGGAATCAGGATTTATTAGTTCCTCTGTGTATGGCTTTGGAGAGCTGGGGCCATGTGCCTGCCTTGGGTTTATAGCCAGTGATGGAAGGCTTGAAATTACTTTTTCCTGCTGAAAAAAAAGCAAAAAAGCCAACACTTTCCTTTGCATGTAGAAGACCCATGTAACCAAAGAAATGCTCTGTGAGGGAATGAGCCAAACGAGCTGCATACAAAGTTCTACCACATGGAGAAATGAAGTGCTGCTGCAAAAGCGATATTCTTTGAACTGCTGTTACGGTTGCTGATGTTAGCAATCAGCTGCAGGTTGGCTGTAAGGAAAACAAATTCGGGAGGGCAGTTAAAGAATGAACTTCTCAGCCATGTGCAGCTCCCCAGCAGAAGTGCAGGGGAGTGGTTGGGCTGTTGCGTAACAACCCACACAGGATTCAAACAGTTGAGGTCAGTTGTTTTCGCTGGCCCGTTCCGTCCGTGGAAAGAAAGAATGTAGTGAGTGTACTTCATCTTTTTTTAAGTCTGCTAAGGGACCTTTAAAACTTTACTTATAAAACATGGTTTACACAATTTTTTTCATCCTCCCCTTCAGTTTCCCACCTCCTCAAAAAATAAAACCCAGCTCTTTTCCTCCAAGGCCTGCTGTCCCCTGCATGYTCCATCGCTGGCTATAAAACTACTAGATGTTGCAGGGGCAGCATCCCCAAGTCTGCAGAGGGAACAAGAGTTTCCTGGCCTTCTGCTCYAGGTCTGTGTGGTTTTATGGTTATTGGAAGACCACCTCCTTTTTTCTCAGTCCAGGGCTTTTTCCCCCCCACTCTGTTCCCTGAATAAATGTAGTGCCATGAATAAAATAAACACCGCTGTCAGTCTCTCTGCATATTTTTTCACTGTGCTTCATTATACAGAATTCTTTCAAAAGAAATGTAACTCGCGGTCTTGGCTGGTTCCCAGCACCATTAAAGGTCTGCTGGCACTTTTCTTAAGGATCTGGCATTTTGCTTCTATTTTTTATAGAAATTCATTTCACCTTGTGCTCTGTAGAATGTCTGCTGCCCTTCAGTCCAGCTGGGCTGCACAGTAACCCCTCACTGGAACTTGCAGATTGCAGATGCTTTTAGAAGTTTTTGGRGGTGAGAGGAGTCAGTGACTTCTTCACCTCCAGACTGGACCAGTAGATGATACAGATTGGCATGTCAGCCCCTAATCCTGGAGTGAAAAAAAAAAAAAAGGGTCTGTGAATGGATCATTGTTAAAAAGCACATGAAGCCACGTTTGTGTTTGCAAGGTAAGGGCCTGACTGATTTGTTTGGCAGTGTTGCCTGTCTTGGTTTTGTTTGAGGGGAGCGGGGGAGTTTTTTTCTTTTTGGTTTGTTTTTGAGAGGGAAATGCTGTTTCCTGACAGTGATGGTGACATTCCAGGAGTGACTTTTACCTGTCCCYTTAATTCTGCAAGGCTCCTTGGCAGGGATCCTGTGGGGTGTCCAGCTGCTGCTGTCCCTGGTGCCAGCTGTGAGAGCTGGGGGCTGTCACCAACGATGGGTGTGGGGGGCTCCAGGGCTGCTCTCTTTGCTTCACAAAGCCTCAGGGCTGCAGTACAGGTGGAGGWGTTGAAAGCCAAGGTTGTACTTGTGACTGGGGAGAGCAACAGGACTCATTACCACTTCTGGCTCGTGAAGCTGTGCTTTTTTAACCAGACAAAAAGCCCAGGAATCCCTCACTGTGCCATGGTGTGTGTGCCCAAGAGACCCTGGCCCAACTGGCACGGTGCTCTCAGCCAGTGGAACTTGCCTGGATATTCAGTGGAAGAAGCTCTCAGAGGTTGCCCTTTACCTCAGCTTCTGTTCCCCTCTCTGCTTCTCTTTGTACTTCCCTCAGTAGGCAGGACTGGGTTTTGCCTCCTTCCCTCAGTTGGTAGGACTGGACTTTGTCTCCTTCTCTCAGTTGCTGGGGCTGGGCCCTGACTTCTTCCCTCAGTTGGCAGGGCCTGGATTTGTCTCCTTCCCTCAGCTGGTGGGGCTGGGCTCTGACCCTGGCTCAGGAATTGAGGTCTCCTYGCAGTTCCTGAGGTTCCTTTCCCAGCAGTGTCCCACTGGAGGCTGTAATGCCCAGCTGAGASTGGATGTGGTGACACGGAATGGTCCCAGTGCTCAGCAGCATTACAGAGAGCTGACCTCAGGACTCCCCACCATCCCATACAGCTTCCCTTCTGCCTAAAGTCASTGTCAGAACTTGCAGTTTATTCTTGTATTAATTCCTCCCTCTGACTCAGCAAAATGATTTGCCCACCTCCCATGCTGCTCGTGGCTTCAGAACCAGCACAACACCACACTCACACACTGGGAAAATGCACAATTCCTTGCACTAAGGCACTCAAAGCTACCAGATGTTTTCCTAAAGCAAGTTCTTTATTAGTTTTTGAGGGTGGGGTTTGGTTTTTTTCTTTTCTCCCAACTGAAAAGCAGAGAAAAAGTTTCAGCGTTTTTTACACTGAGAATTTGAAGGGGAAAAAGCCTCCTGTCTGATGCCAAAGTTAAACTCTAATCACTGCTCAGCTCTCCTGGAATTTGGCAGCATACCAGGGCTCCTTCCCTTTGCTAGGTCATGTGGAAATACCAGAGCCTTTTCTTAAAGAACCTCTCAGCTCTTTTCAGGTACTTACACAGATGGAACTTCCCTGTTAGGATTCTAATGCCTKTTACACTCTTAACTGCATTAAAGCACCATTCCTAATAAGCACCATTCAGATCTACAAAATTTTATGTATAAGCATTAAAATGCTTGTAAGTGTGTTAAAACTACATAAAGGCAGCTTTAAAGATCTGGTTTTAAGTTGATATTCCTATTCCAATGGAATGGAATCATAAGCTTTAATCTTGGAAATAGCATTTAAATGTGCCTAATGAAAAGAACCCACAATTGGTTCACAAGTTTATGAGGGGCTGCAGGAATAACTGGGATAAAGGGTGAGAGATGAGGGTCTCTTTGTTCAATTTGTTCACTGAGAATATTTAAGATTCTCTCCACACTGTTTTTTACATCTAACTTACCAGCTGGTTTTAATTTATGACCACTGTCCTGGAGATTCTTTCTCATGGRGAGTTTTTAATTCTGTCAAAGCTGCCCTAATAGCTCTGTAACAAAACACATCATTGAATTGCACTGTTACAGACAGCATACTCGATTTTCCTCTCAGTGCTGTTTCTTCCCTGTTTTCACTCTTCACTTGTGTTTTAGCTGGATGTGAAGAACTCCCAGATGAATTCCATGATCTGATTAACTTGATACTGTGGTGGTGCCATGAGTGCTGATCACTGACCCAGTTCCCCATTTTCCAGGTCTCCCTGAGCAGGCACACAATGGAATGGCAGCCTGTGCTTGGAAAGCTTGGAAACTTGTAAAGCCAAAGTTAYAAGAGAGCGATCTGATCTGCCTGGGATGAATGCAGTGACCTTTTTCCTGGATCAGTACTTTTATTTACATATTAAATGTAGACATTTTTTTTCTTCCAGTGCTGCAGAGCTGAAAAGGTGCCATATCAGGCAGGAATGTGTGTAAAGGATTCCTTTGTTAAATGTTGGCAGCAGCCTCAGCAGGCCTTGCCAAAGTCAGTACAGCCCACCCAGCCTTCCAGCAGCATGCCAGGGATCC